CCCCAAAACCCCAAAACCCCAAAACCCCAAAACCCCAATATTAAAAATGGAGGTTGAAACAACCTTCTTTGCTTTTGAAACTGATACAGAATCTCGAGGGTTTGGAAAGAGAAATTTAAAACAAATAATAACGTGAATGTAAAGATTTGAAAGAACCCAGTGTTTGAAGACAGTATCAAAGAAAAATGAGCAAGAGTTCTTGAGGATTCTGAAAATTCACTGAACAAATTTATTAAAAGAAGTACTAAAAGCTGGCATTTTTGGATACTTTGGCTTCGTTAGCATGATCGGATTAATAAATCATTAAAAAAATACCTTAAAGCCTCTTTGGACTCTTGTTTAAGTTTAATCACTTTGAGGGAAGATATACTTATTTCAAAATATTGTCATGGATACTCAAATTGTTATTAATTGCTATCATATCTCCTTCTTGAGACACTTTAATTATTCTCTTAATAAACTCGTCATAGCTGGTTAAATACTCTAAGCCCTCGAATTACCTTCCATTAAAAATCTAGATATTGACAAAAATTTGCCATGAAGGAATTCAGAGAGAACATGGCTAAAAATAAGCCATGAATGAATCTTAGAAAGCTCTGAAGATAGGAAAACACAAAGTATTTTCAATGACTTTCAAGAGTCCAGGGTTCAAAGAGACCAGGGATTTATTTACCTTACTCACCTCTTGAAAGAGTGCCAACACGTTATGCATAATTGAGGTTTACTACTCAAATGTTATGCATATTCTACTCCTTCCAACAGATGTGACCAGGAATCTGTCTAGACTATCATCTCTCGCCTTAAGAATGGGCTCACAGATTACAAAAAATTTGCCATATTTTCATTTCAGGTTTATCAGCCTGAAGAGTTGCCAGATTCTTATTATATGTACTATCAAGGGTCCAAACAACTTGGAAGCTCATATGGAAAGAGCATCATGAATTTTATTAAAACTAAAGGGATAAGCTAAGATAGATAGCAAAAATTGATTTAGAGTGATATTCTGGGGTAGTAATTTCTGAAAATCTCCAATTCGTGTCAAGGACATCCTAAATTTAACTTTTATAAGAGTCGTAGAAGAAGTATTTCAAGTACACATTCATCAAAGACAGTAAGAGGCCCTAGCCTTATTGTATTTCAGCCAAGTTCAATAGTCTGGGGAAGGACGTTTGATGCGATTTATTATGTCAAGAAGGGCTAAAATTGTCAAGCTAGGTCTTTATCTATAACTCTAAATTTCCATGGGACCTTATTATTCCATAAACTGGTTTAATAAATTTCTGGTTAATTTTTATCATGATCAATGGATGCCTTTTGAGCAGGGTTGAAGTGAATGATGATCATAGCCATAAATAAAAAGATATCTCGAAAATTTTGCCATGTGTCTTAGGGCAATAAATATTTTCAGAGGTGACATTTCACCCTGACGTAAAATTCTCCATCCTGAAATTAGCATCCCTAATATGGAATATGTTAGAGGACTCGTTTAAATATATAGGAGCATTGAATAAAATTACTGGTTTATTGATCAAGTAAAGCCAAAGTTTTATTGGCAGTCCCTCAACTTTCTTCTAATGCTTCACCGAGATGTTGGATGTCCTATGATTTTAGTAGAATGGTATATAGTTGGTATTATAACAAAAGTTAATTCTAAAACTTTTGAAAGGGCAAACCTGCTCTTTAACTCTAATTTCGAATCACTATAAGCTTTATAGCTCATTAGAAGCTAAATTTCATGATGAGAGCATCGGCATTAGCTAGAATTCTATCAAAAATAATAGCAAAAACACTATTTAACTCAAATCCTAAAAACTTAATTGTGCGAGTTTGGGTCTATCAAGGAGTGTTAGTTCATCTTTATGAATTAATTGATAATATATCAGTATTTTTGTCTCAAAAGAGCAGCAAAGTAATAAAATTTTCTCTTTGGTAAAAAGCATAGTAAATATGGCTATCACAAAAATTAGTGAGAGGAAATTTCTCAAAAGGAGAGGATCAGCTAGATAAGTTTTATCTAAGGAGTTCTACCGTTCAATATGCTTGTCCTACCTTCTGCATTCTTCTTATCCCATTTTGGGATAAGGAAAATAAATGATGTTAGTCATCTATGAAGCCTAAAATTATTATTTCATAGTGGAAGAGCAGGCATACGATTATGAAAGCACTCATATATTTATAAGAGTCTTTTGTACTGCTCATATATACAGTAATATCCCCAAAAGCTTCCATTTGGGATCACCATCAAATTTTAAAGACTTTCTGAATAATTCAAATTAGAAATATTTGAAGTTGGCTAATGAAGAATTTCAGGATTTCCGAGTTTTAATCATCATCGAAGTACAGATTTACTCAATAGAGAAAGAGACTCCATTACTACATCTTGATTAATTCAGAGAGGGTTTTGCTTGGATATTATGCGTCAAAGTTTATATAATGGTTGCTTGAATTAACACCGCGGTGGGCACGTATTAATAATTCTTTTAACAAAATCTGGAATTTATTGGCTTACGGACATCGCACACTCCAGATCTTTTCAAAAGATTTTACGCTAGATTCTGTTTGAAATTAAGCACAATGAAGAATTTAAAGGAGCAAGAAATCATAATTTTAAAAAGATTTTACGATAAAGTTATTGAATCACTTCATTATGAAGGAAGCCAGGAATTTGTCAGCCAATCATTGGTTTGGAACCAAGATGACAATTCATTACTGAATAATTTGGAACCTCTGCAGCTCGAAATCAAGTGAATTCTGGCCTTCGTAAGAAGCTGGATTATGACTTATATCAATTCTTCTCTAAAAATATCAACTCTGGGGTCGTCAAGCTCTTGGAGAAGGCATCAAGCCAAAGTTCTGAGGTTCTTGCAAATTATAGCTCTACTGAATCTTTTGTTCGAGAACTTTTTTCTCAAGTTCTGGAATGTTGTAATTTGAGTCTTGATAAATTTACGGCAAGGTAATTCAGAAGCCTTCTTAAGATCAATGATTCCCATTGTATAGTATACAAGTTCTTGGGTAATTTCCTCTGTAGGGATCAAGTCTACTAGCATGGCTTGGACTCTAACAAAGATATCTTCTAAGGATCAATTTCTAAACCTTCTTCTGACTATGTCAGCATTCTTGTCCTTGAAGTTCTTTTTGTAAAACCTTCTTAGGAGTCTGATTCCTCCCTTATATGTCAAATCTTTTCTCTGAAAATTCATAGCTTCAAAATTATGATCTCTAGAAGAAGTTTTAGAAAGTTGACGTTCTTCCTGAATGTGTTCAATATTTCTTTCATTCTGATTATCTTCATCAGTGTCTTTTTGAATGACCTTCTGCTGATAGCAATGTTCCTTATGACTAGAAGCTTCTTTTTGTTCTTCTGTGTGGTTTTCTTTTGCTGTGTCTTGTATCTCTACTAAATCATCTTTGATATCTTCATTTCCTAGTACCTTATCAGAGACCTCAGCTCCTTTATCAGAGAAAGCTGAGTCCTCATAAAGCTTGCTGTACAAGGTGCTTTGTTCTCTGTTTCATACAGGCAAATCTGTACAAGCCAGACTTAAGTCTTTGAAATCCTAAAGAAAGTGAGAAGACCTAACATGGAGTATAAAGAAGCTTTATGTATGAACATAAGCATCCTAGCGAAAATTTTAAACCACAGATCCAAATGATTAACTAAATTTTGGCTTACAATTTGGAAGTTCTCTCTTGAGACTTGGAAAAATATGTTTCCGGGGTAGAGGTAATCTGGGTCATTGATCTCACACAAATCTGGATGGAAATTCTGCTGAAAGTTCATTATATATTATTAAATCTATTTTAGCTTCAATAATTTATGCAATCACGGGGTTTTGGGGTTTTGGGGTTTTGGGGTTTTGGGG